ACAGAACAAACACCTACAACAAAATCACAACAGTTTAGTCACTGTTTTGTTTCTGTAGTGTCTGCTGCTCTGTCAATGGAACAGCTGCAGGTCTTGTTCTTTTTTAGACTCCTCTGCAGAAGTACACAGGTGTTGGATCCATTCTGGCTGATTAAACCTTTGCTCAGATTCACGTTTCAGGGGAAGCTGTGCTTTGGTTGGACAAAGGCCCGAAACTCAACAAACACCTGGCGCTGATAAAGATTCACAGGTCTGAACACACAAGGTTTAATCAGGGAAAATAATTGGAAACACCTGTTTAGCCTTATGTCCTTTTCTACGTCTATTCTAGCTATGTACGTGCAACAAAGAAACATACATACTGACTGCTCAAAGCGCTTTTTACACTGCATGTCACACCTAGACATTCACAAGCTGATGGCAGAGGCTGATCTAGTGAGACCATCAGAAGTATCTAATCCCATTCACACACTGCAGACAAAGCAGTGGGAGCAACTTGGGGTGAAGTGTCCCAAGAACACATCGGAAATGTAGCTACAGGAGCTGGGGATCGAACCCCCGACTTCAGGTTGAGAGACGACAACTCTACCAACTGAGCCACAGACGCCCCTTAATGGGAAAAGAAAAAATGAAAGTCATAATCTTAATTAATGCAACATGTCATTAGGCCAGGATTAGAATGCACATATTGTTTAGCACTGGCATTGGGGATTCATTAGGTCTCATATTTTCTCATGAACAATTGAAACTGCTCCATCTTCTGTGTCAACATTTAAGATTGAGCTTTATCCATCCCAATTATCAAATAACTAAATCAGCTTTTTTGAAGCAAAAAATTAAAAGCGTGATCTTTTGCCAAAAAATTTAATAAGCACTGAGAACGGATAACCGAAGCACTAAAAAATAAAATGAGTTTTCACATTGACATTTCTGTTGGCAAACAAACCATCGTCACCTCCCGTGTTATCATTTAAATGCTTAATGAGACAGAAAATAATAGACAAACAGCAGAGTGTTCTTTGGCAAACTTTAACATAAACACTGTTGCCAGGAGATGAAAGCACATTTAAATACATTTGCACAAACCTCAGGGCTGATACTTGCATTGTGATGATACACCTGAGAACACTCTGCATACCAGAGAATTTCACAAACTACTAAAGCAGTGGGTGGATTTGTTTCTGGAAAAAAACTTTTTTCTTTTGTATGGGAGCAATCAATACAGGCAATTCTTCAATCAATACAATTTCAAATTCATGCTTGGACACTTTGGAGGAAAAGAAAACCCCGTTCAGGACTAAAAGACTCTGCAAAGATGTCTCAGTTTGGTTTGACAAGTAAAATAAAGCAGATAATGAAGCCTGTATGACGTCCTGATGCAGTCCTCATCATCTGCTTTACTCACAGCTCAACACTGTTATTAATCATGAGCTTCATTTGGAAACATCACTTTGTTAAGTCAACTGATTAAGTTAAACAGCACCCACTCATCTTTCCAGTAATGGGAGCCTGGATCAATTTATCACAACAGTGTTTGCCTTCATTTGACAGCTGACGCATGCAGTTTGAATCCTGGGCTGCTTTTAAAAAAATGAGAGCTGCAGCTTAAAAGAATCTGATGCATTTATTTCCATAAATAATATTTGGACTGATGGAAGCAGACACAACACGGCTGGACTGCTCTCTCTCTCTCTCTGTCTCTCACACACACACACGCGCGTGCATACAAAACCAAATCCAAACTTCAGTCAAACAAACACACACACATGGATGCACACTTCATATCCAGGTTGGCATTGAGTTGGCATTCAAGTTGTTATGAATCATTAGTTTTTCAGGGTTTTTTTTTTTTAGGAAGCCAAAAGAAGGCAGCATCTGCTCTGCAAAGCTGTGAATTTTGGCAGAACAGGAGCATGCAGGGGTGAATAAAGTGTGCTGGTTTGACATTTCAAAATGAGAAAAAGTCAAACTGCAAAAAGTGAGCAGTAGAAAAAGGGCGGAAGTTTGACTTGAGACAAACTATACTGACGGCCTCAAGAAAAGTAGCATTTGGTTGGCAGGACTGAAAATAGCTCAAATATAGCAGTGTGTTGCTGCCCCACTCTGACATCTCACCACCAACACATGTCCACAGGTCCTGTTTGTGCATGTGAAATACCCAAATTTCCCCTTGGGGATTAATAAAGTATATCAAAATACAAAAATAAATAGTGCAACGGGAGGCACGGATAGTTTTAAACTAGTGCAGATAGAAAATGATTAAAGGAATTTTGTCAGTTAAGGGGGAGTGTTTGTAAAATTCTTGCAGTTTTAAGAAAAGAGGTTTTAAAACCTAGAATTTAAGAGAAACATCTGTAGAAAAAAACAACAACAAGAAATCCTGATTTAATAACCTGTGATAGAGAGGAGATAAAGGTACATAAATGAAAGAAAATCTTAGTAGTATCCTGTACTTTTCAAAACACAGACGAGTCAAATACAATGTTGGCAATGTAAGAGATTCATACAGCAGTTCAAAAGACTTCTTGTGTTTTGCCTGTGTTCTGTCTTTTTTGTACATCTATACAGATATACATGTTTGTTGTGTTGATGGACAATAACATGACATATTCTATCATCTAAAACTCATGTGAGGAGTTTTCAGCTGGGTACCAAACAGCGAGAAGGTTGAACATTTCTATGAAGTATTTTGTTTAAATCTGAAGAAGCGTAGGTGTCAGGCGAGGGGATTAAAGGTACACTGCCAAAAACAAACTCTCTTTTTGACACACCTTCTAAAACCAGGATTGTTCATAGATGATACTGACTAACTATGTGATGAGATTTGATTTGAAACACTTAACACATGTAAGATCAGCAAATAAATTAGAGGTCCACAGGGGGCGCCACAACTCACACAAACTCACGACCTTACAGGAACTTTAAATAGCGTTGAAATGAGATGAAAAGGATTAAAACCTTCAGTATGAGAAATTTAAATTTTTACATCAGTTTTAAAAGGGTACTGGAGTCTAAATTCAAAACATTAGAGCCTCCTTCTCCCTAGAGTCGATGTGCACGCAAGTCACCATGACAGGGAAGCTTCAGTGTTTAGCTTGTATTGAATCAGTCTTGAAACCTTTCTGCTTTTCAACCTCTCTCCAATTTTTAAAAAGCATCTCCAATGTTTATCCTAGTTTTATAGTCGTGGAGCTCTTAAGATAAAGCAGAGGCTTTTTAGGCCGCATCAAATCTGCTTTTTATGGTTTAATTCAGTAGATATCTTACATATTGCTCCATTCAATTTTTTTATGAAAATGTGATACATGAAATGTAATTTTGTTTCTTAACATATATTTATATTTTCCGCATTCAGTCATGCCTCTAATGAAAAGCCAACACATCTCCTTCTGCCAACTTGTTGCCATGATGCAGTGTAACACTGAGTCCTCAGCTGTGTAAGCTCAGAAAATGGGAGCTGCATGTTTATTAGTCGTTAGTGGCTTTCCAAATGTAAAAAGTTGCAGAATTTAAAAACAGACATAATCCTTCCTAACAGTGACTTAATGCATCTGTTTGAGTACAAACCTCCAACAGCATCGCAGAAAGATGAAACTCCTCTCATTATGCCCTAACCTAAGGTGACCGTAAAATGACAAATCATTTGTCTTCCAGAAATTCTTCCAACATCCTGCGTCTCTTCGATAAGCATTCTCAGGTATTCATGCCTGCAGGGGGAGAAAAACGCCTTTAATCCAGGCGCAGCAGAGAAAAGCAAATCTGTTTGTACCAGGAGGAAGCAGAGGATTAATAGCTCTGAAGAAATGTGCGACAACTTCTAAAAAAAAAAAAGATAAGACAGCCAGAAACAAGTTTGTCTAAGCTGCTGTATTAATTAATGTTCATTACAAGTTGTGTTTTATGAAACATTATCTCCACACTGAAGTACATCATGTTTGTTTATGTGTTTGTGTGATGACGGGCTTTGTTTTCTAATGAATACATCACTTCATTAAAGACAGACTGGGTTAGCACACAGTAGACACTCTTACAGATTCAATTCAATGCAGTCACCTTTCACTAAGAACTTCATTTTGTGAAGCCATCAGGTTCCATTGTGACTGCTAAGAGGGATTTGAAATAATTAAGGGTCCCCACTGTAAATGGGGGGGGTCTACTTCTGTGTTAGCATGTCATGATAATCTGTAAGCCTTTCGTTAAAGGTTAGAGAGAAATGTTCTTGTAACTAATGTTTAAAAAGTGATTTAATATCTTCAAAGGTTAGCTTTTGAAAATCTGGTCTTTCACAATGTCACATTCACTAGCATGGACTTCACCATCAACGGGTGCAATTTGACAGTCAATTGAATTGGAATAGTGATTCTGAATTAGGCGATGTAAAACGTCTTTCTATCTTTGGACTTGAGAGGCTTACTTTGGGGATACGCCGTTACACCCCTTCCTCCCAAAGGCATTTGAGGGAGGGGTGCAGAATACGAGAACAAAAGGGGAGGAGGGGGTTAGGTTTGAGGTGTGGTCCTGCTCCTCAAACTTAGCTATATAGCATCACTTGTCTATTTGTGGAGCTCCTGTGTATATCCAAAGGTCCCCCATTTTAAAGTCCATCCATGACAAAGCAACAAATAAGACTTCATTTCCAGGATAATTAAGGTTAAAAAATAAGTATTCAAAGCTCAATTCATCATATTAAGAAGAGGTTCAAGTGAGATTCAAAGTAAAAACGTACATATGCATAAAGTCAAAATTTAGCTCGTAAATGTGTCTTCCAAATGCAGAGTTACAGAGAGTTAGTCTATGTGTGTTCAAACCAAAAGATTAGAAAATATTTCCCCCTCCAGATACATCTGCTAAACAAACACTGTCATCTGATTTTAGTGAGTTTCTGTTTAATTTTTAAACAAGAATTACTGCCAAAAAAATTACTGTCTTACAACCCAAAAAATAAATGGAAGTTCTTGTGTTTTAAGGTACATTTAGTAACTTTATTTGCACCAGTCGGTAGATTTGGTTTACAGTGAGCAATTGAAAAAAAAAAACAGGTCTGAAGTTTTACTGAGCAAGTCACAGAAATAGGCAGATCTGAAAAAGTAATAATGCATGTTTTGTCAGGTCTGTCTGCAAGAAGACAAGAAAGCAATCTCAAAATACTTTGTTGAAATGAAGTTGGATTAATGAAAATCTAAATGCTTAATGGCTTTGCAGACGTTAAGCACACATTTGCATCTGCTGTGAATTTGCATCTTGCTATTGACTTTCAATGTGATTTTGTTGCATGAAAAATGTAGTCACCCTATAGACTCGAAGTCATTAATCAGCAAAATGACAATGCTTTTCATAATTTGGATTTGACAATAACAGTGAGCGGACCATTCTCTTTTTTTCTGCACTTTATACTTGTTTTGTCTTGCACCTGTATGCAATTTGCTTGGATGTACGCACACTGGTCTTTTTCTTTGATTCTTTGAATATTTGCGAACAAGCTCCTTTATCAGCTAAAAATGCCAACATGGCAGTCATGATTTGTTTTTGTTTTTTACTATGAAGGCATCCGAAAACAGACAAATAGATACAAGTTACAGAGAGACAAAGACATCAGACATTTGCTGCTTAAGTTGCTCATGCATCACGTATTTACCAGCAGGGTTAGCAAGAGAAAAATATGTCTCATGAGGACTGTTCTGGCAGAAAACAACGACATTCGTTCAACGACACCAGAAAAAAAGTTGACTTAAGATATGGTGGGCATTTCTTTGCAAGCCCTTTTTAAGTTGAGTTTTTCATTTTTTTTCTATTAAACCATATCAGAAATTAACACAATGAAGGGGGTTGCATACAGTACAGCCAAGATAACAATCAACAAAGGTTCTTCGGATTCATCCTGCAATAGTAGTCCCACAGGACTCAGTCCTGGGTTTATGTTCTTTGACTAAATTTAAATCCAGTTTATTCTTACTTGTTTTCCCACTAATACCTTTCTTCCGGATTGACACTTACTTAAACAAACTCAAAAACAAACATTAAAGTTTGAAAGGGCTTGAATAAAGAGTTTTTGTTTGACATTCAACTGTAAGGTTTTACTGTTATACATTCAAAACCATAACATCAAGTCATATTTCCCTTCCCAGCACACATTTTCTCTCTTTGACAGATATTTCATAATCAAAGCCATCCATTTTAAACTGAGGTCAAACATTTAATGCACAAGCACACCTCCACCGGCTTCCACCTTCTCAGAACTGTTGGTGAATGCTAATTACACCAGGATTTATGAGTTTCCCCCTCGGGCTTAGGTGCAATCTGCAGAAATGTCAACAATGTTTCAGGAAATTCTTTCTCTGGAGTGCTTTTACAATGTCATCTCAATAAGACACTTTTATCTCATTTATTCCTTTCCACTCATAGCACCCATGGCATCCAACATAATGTCCATATTTACAAAAAGGCTTTTTACCTCACACAAAAAAAAGAGGTTTACATTTTTAGAAAAATACTCGACAGACTTCTTGCATGTGCAGAGCTCTGTTCAGGAGTAGCTCTGTGAGGCCATTGAGAGAACATAAAAGTTTTTTTTTTTTTTTTGACATTCGAGGCATTTACCCTGACATAAAGCCTTAAGGCAGCAGAGTTATCGTCTGCATCTTCGGAGGCAAGTCCCTATCAGCTAGCCTTGCCCCTGGGGGAAATAAATACATGTGCAACAGTTGAGCTTAAGTCTTTCCCCGAGGCATAGCTAAAGTTCAAGTCTGGTGAAAGTAAAACATCCTCTTTCTGCCTTAACATGCCAATCAAACCGCTTCTCCTGGAACGCCAAGAGAGAGGCGTAAGACCTTAGCTGATCCATGACTGGAGGGGTTCTGTGGTATCGATGTTCGATTCGCTGACAAACACCACGCCTTCAGCAGACTCTTCCTTTGGATTTGTGTCCTCTGAGCCTGATCCGCACCAAGGGAAGGCGATGAGGTAGAAAGTGCCCTGCAACAACCCCATGAGGAGTCAGAGACACAGCTTTGGGTTGAGAGAACAGAGGTGTTGGACGTGGGACCCGGGCTGGATGAATGGGCGGTAATGTGTCCTTGTGGTTTGGCAGCTAATCCCCCCGTCCTCATGCAGCGGCCTAGCAACACGTTGTGAAAGGCTTTCTTGAACTCCTGGCTGAAGCAGGGGTATATAATGGGGTTAATGCAGCTGTTGAGGTAACCCAGCCAGAAGGTTATCTTAAAGATGGTGTCAGAAGGCTTACACGATGGGAAGATGGATCCTGGGGAAAAAAACACAGACACTCATCAGAACACAATGCAAAGAAACGTTATACCCCTTCAATGTTAAGTCTCACAGAGCTAAAGAGCACTTAGCACATTGCCTGCAAACATTTTTTCTATACTTCTACTGATTAAGTTTAACCTTAGTGCTTCAGCTCACAACAATGTCTCTGTCAGATTTGAAAGGCTGGTTATGAAGGGAGACTTTTGTAGCCATGCTCTGAGATTGACATGTTTGACAATTAATATTACTGAACTGTTCAGGGGTTCACATCCATTGTTCAGGTTTATATTGCACTGTCTTTCAATCTTTTAAACAAGTGGGTCCCCATTGTTTGCTGTCAATTTCTGCCAGTGGTTTCAGTCCGTTCCACTGTGGCTGAAATCTAGCAGGAAACACAGCCTCACATATTCAAGTGAAAAAAGACAGCTAGCCTGTAAAAAACAGCATAAAAACCCATATCAAGTATCAAGTTAATTTTCTCAATAACGGTCCCAATAGGTGTAAAGAGATAATAAATCACACATTCTTTATCTTTAATAGGCAAGTCAGACAAGATAGTCATTACAGTTGTCTAAATATGGTCATTTATTGGTTTGAAAAATCATATTTATTTACGTGAATACATCTTTGACTAAGAGAAATGCTGTTGTGTTTATCAAAATAATATTAGTCTTTACTTTGAATGTTAAAAAGACTTGCCATAGGCCATTAGCCTCCTGGAAACAGCTTTAACAGGCCCACCTGTCAAACAGACCAGGGGTCATATTCACAAAGAGGTGCTCCAAGTGACAAAATTCTAAAAAAAATGACATTTTCTAAGAATTTCCCCTTAAAGTAAGGACTACATTCCGGTAAAGATAGAAGTCATTCATAAAGCATCTAAGCCCTTAAAAGAGCACCTATGGTGTTCTGTTAGTAGTATTGAGGAGGACTTTTAAGACTCTTTAGAGTTTCTCAAACAGACGATAGAATAGAGAAATGTTCTCCAAACACTACATGAAGAATAATTTTATTGAATCACAGTTAGGCCAACAGACACAAATTATTTTTGCAGGTATTTCAATCCATCTCTGACTTTTTTCAGTTAAAAGTGAGACATACATAAGTTTCTCTACACGTGGTTACCTCCATAGGTGCATCCATTCACTAATTAAGGCTCTTCACATGATGACATAACAATCAGAAGGTGAAGAAACCGCTACACAAGTGGGCATGTGATTTCAAACATTTTGTAGGCAGTATGTCTTTTTCACACAGATGATAATTTCATAGTGTTCATTTTTACACCAATGTCTGACTAGATTCTAGGATTGACTTCTTGTCTCAATTATTTTGGATCAACCAATCACAGCTTCTGAAAAAATGTGTCATGTCTAAAAAGGGGGCCAACCACACCTACACATTAAGATACAAGTTTCTGTCCCTTCTTCGCTCAGAGTTTCTCTGAGAATGTTCCTGAATCACTCCTAAGCTAGGAGCTCTCTGAAAGGATTCTCAGAATGTTTGTGAATACGACCCCAGAGCTTTTAGAGGCAGCCTCAAGTGGACACTTAAGAAACTGCAGTTTCTTTTTACACTTCCTTGTTGTCTTCAACTGGAGATCGCCACTAAAAAAATCATTTGTTGGGTTTTAAATGCAAAATAAACAAGAAGATGAGAGTGTTGACTTTTTGGAAGTTCAAACAAAGTACAGTAAAGATGCTTTTTTGTGGGGAACATGACAAAAAAAAGAATGAAAAAGTAACAAGCCTCTATCAAATTGGGTATTTCATCACAGAAATGTTATCAACAAGGTAGGTCAACAAAAAGCTGAGTAAGAACCCACGTGTTGCGACACAAACCATGTCATTGTCTGTGCCTTTTTGAAAAATTAACAGTAAATGAACTGAAAATCTTATTGCCCCTTCAGTTATTTGATTAATGATCAGAAATCATGACCAAAGCTATAAAAGTACGACTCAAGATGTGATACAAAACAATTCTCCATTATTTTAAGAGCCACTTAATGGAGATACTGCTTCAACGTCTAATTGAATCAGATGTTCCTTTGCAATTCATTCCTACTAACTTAATTCAAATCTGTAGTGGAAATAATATGCTCAAGCTTACACTGCAAGACAGTAAACACTGCTCTTCTCTGAGGAGAAAATAGCAGCAGTTCAACTCCAGTCAGAGGTCTTTTTATGTACAAAACCTATTTTTATAAACGCAGCTCTTCACAGTGGCTTAAAATACAATATGAGACCATTGTGCAGCCATCACTTTATTTTAAGAGCCTGATAGGGGTGTGCAGAGGCATCAGTATCTGCATCTGTTCATCCAAAAACGTATCTGTATTCAGACATAAAACCGGAAGTAGGTGTGGCTTATACAGGAAGTGTGCTTTTTTAAGCTGTTTTGCAACAATTATCACAAAAAACGAGGACATACGATCAAATAAGAAATGAACATTAGATTAAAGTGAGTCATGTTAATATAAGAGCGATGCAGCTGATCTGCCATCAATGCATCAAATTGATTTATGATTGGCAAATAGATAATAATAATAATAAAACAAATATTTCTACCTCCTCATACTGTAAGTTAATCTGGGTCTCTCTCTCTTGTTTTTATTTGAAACTAGTTCCATGAATTGTGTGGACGCTAAGTCAAAATTCAAAGAAGCATGATGGCTGTACATCTTACATGGATGAAAACTGATTCAGATAAAAGTTGTAGTTACCTAACCAGGCTTACATCTGCCAATGCCTACCTACAGTAGCTGTTCCGTCTTTGCCTCCCTCCTCCTCAATGACTACAAACATACTCATAAAACTAGAGTTACATCCAGTACAACCCAGTCTCATGTCAAAATGTGTAATACCTACGTTGGTCCACAGCACAAAACGTAGTAGTTTCACAATAAGGGCTCTAAAATTGTGACATGCCTACGTTTCCTTTTGCCTATTCTTTTGTATAGGCATACCTCAGGTCACGTGACTGCCCCCTGGCGAAAAAACAAAAACATGGCGGACATCCCTTCTATTTTCGGTGGAAAATGCAATATTTTAAGATAGTTTGAGGCTTAAGTGTCGTTTTGATAACCTTTTTTGGTGACAAATGTACATTGTATCTTGATCATCTTCGTTCGGTTTATGTTTATGATGTTTGTTCGTTTCTACGAACATTATTTCAGGTCTCGATAGAAAAACGTTGGGATGTTAGGTTTTCTACTGTTGCTACGGTGGTTGCTATGGACGCTATTAACAACGACCCGGAAGGAAGTGGACGTTCGGTTTGTGGCTCTTAAAACGGGTTACATCAGACGCTAGACATCAAGCTAAGCTCCGATGCAATAAATAATGATTTCTGTTACATTTTCATGGATGTCTTTCATTACAACCAAATTTAATAGAACGATTGGAACAGATTGATGCATATTAGCAACATTATAAACTATAACATGTAACAATCCTTGATACATAAAGACAATACTGTACAGTTTGTGTGATTTATATAGTTTTATGATTTTATTTAACTAAATAATCCTGACGGATTAGATTAATACCAGAAAATGCAATCAATAAAGTAAACGGCCGGCGATAAGAACTACAAACGGGCGCATGACACTGACATCAAATAATGACGTATGATAATCGTCAATACGTCATTATTGATGACCTCTTTATTAGATCTTTCAGGGGGTATTTACTGATGTTTTTTAAGGTTGGTTGCAAAAACACATTTTAAATCTGTGTTAACCAAAGATCCCATTCCAGGAATCTAAGCAAAAACCCATTCAAAAAGCCCATTATGCTATCGTCTGCCAGTGTGCTGCTGACATGCGCAATCGTGCAGTCACGCCCACTGTCGGTTTAAAGGCCGAGGGCGCGTTCATTATCAATTCAACGCCCCCCCTCCCCCCCCCCCTCTCTCTCTCCGTAGACTCAAATTTTGAATCCCTTTTTCATAAATGTATGTTTGACCTAGAACCCACCAGTTGTTCGTGAGATTGGGAACTGTTACCAAAACTAAAATCAACTTCCTAGGTCTCTTCTAAGAGATTTTGTGAGCCCATAAGTCACTTAAGGCCCCACTCTCAATTTGCCAAACCTTTCACAATTGAAACACTTTTATCAAAACATCAAAAAAGGGTGTTAAAAAGTGTGAAAATGTTCCAAAAGACAGAAGGTCATTCTCCATTATATGCTGTATGCTTTGTGAACAAGACTGATGTTAAAAACTCCTTTTAAAGGTGCTTAAAAGAGCTAATTTGACCATTTGAGGCCTAGACATGAAGCCTTTTGACCTGTTCAACCCTGTTGCTCTATGAAAGACATTAAACTGAATATTAAAACAATGAATGATGACAAACTAGATTAACTCTTCTATAAGGAAAGAAGGATAAAAAAAAGTACTAGGATGAATTAATATGGAAAAGAGCACAAGAGAGCTTTACTTTTAACCATAATTCTAAACCAAGCACATTCTGTCCTCCAAGCATATAGTTCCCAGATTTTTATGGTGTACTTAAACTAAAACAAACAAACAAACAAACAAAATAAAAAAAATAATAAAATAAAAACATTTTATGTACTGGGCTTTGAAAGAGCTCTATGAAAGTATGACTGCAAGACCCCATGCCTATGAAATGAGAATATTTAAGTTTTTGGCTTAGAGCTAAGCGACATACATCGTTGGAAAGGTCTCATCCTGGAGAGTAACATATGTGAAGATGAGGTTTCAACATGACCCCTATTTTGAAATAATGCTCTTTGAACCATGTTTGAAGGCTTATACCTCAGCAACAAAAGGGGTTACAGACATGGGAATAACTGTTTTAGAGAGGTCTTGGAACAAAGTATCACGTGAGGGTAGTCAGCTCACCAAAACAACAGGGGGAGCTGCTATATATGGTTAAAATACATTTTAACAAATGTATCAATTATGTTTTTAACATAACATAAATGTGTTAACCATCCAATTAAACTCCCCTGTGTACCCTCATTTAAATAT